TTTGATTCTCACAACACTAGTATGATGGAAGTATTATTACTCTTTATGATACTTGCCAATAAGGGGATCCGAACCTGTGACCTTGGTATCATAAGACTGTGCTCTAACCAACTGAGCTCACCAGCCAGCACCAGGCATTATATCATCTCCATTTCACAGTTGAGAAAACTGAGGCACAGAGAGGTTAAGCAACTTGCCGAAAGTCACACAGCTAGGAAGAGGGAAAGACAGGATTCAAAATCAGGCCATGGCTTAGCCACTGGTTGCACTGCCTCTTGCTGTGACAATCTGAACTTCAACCAGTGGGACAAGGGAAGTCACTGAAAGGTCTGGACTTGGAAATGGCAGGGTCAGCTTTGAGCACTAGGGAGTAGCATCTGGCCACCCTGTGTAGGGCAGATCAGTGAGGGAGTTACTTTAATTATCTGAGCAGTCATGGGTCTGACCCTGGGATCAGTAACCCTGGAAGTATCCCTTAGAAAGAGTCATTTAGAAAAAGCAAGTATGTGTCAAACTTCATTTGTGGCACTTGGAATCGGGCTGTTGGTGCTAGGATGAAACTGGGGTCCAGAGGGGAGACCGAATCCTGTAGGTCCAACTTACATCCCTTTGTCCACAACCACTACCGCAGCTTGAGCTGTCCCCATTTCTGTGACTGTGGCCTCTTCAACCTATTCTCTTGCCCAGCCCCTGTCCCTCCCAGAACCATCTGCAGCCCTCCTATAAGTTACTCAGGTTCCCCAAATTACCATACCCTGGCAAGCTAAATGCCTGTAGTGAGCTGAATGGTGCCCGTACCGCCCCAATATGTCCGTGTCCTAATCCTGGGAACATGCAAGTGGGTATCACCTTATATGGCACAAATGTGACTAAGTTAAGGATTTGGGGAGGAAAACCTTATCCTGGATTATCCAAGCAGGCCCTGAATCCAGTGACAAGTGTCTTCATAACAGACATGGAGGAACAGGGACACGCAGAGCAGAGCAGGAGAAGATGTGGTTCGAGGGATGCAGCCACAAGCCAAGGACTGCCTGGGGCCACCTAAGCTGCAGGAGGAAGGAACAGGTTCTCCCCTATAGCCCCAGAGGGAGCGTGGCCCTACTGACACTTGGGTTTTGGACTTCTGGCCTCCAAACTGTGAGAGAATGCATTTCTGTTGTTTTAAGCCACCCAGTTTGTGGTCCTTTGTTCCAGCGGCCGCAGGAAGTGACTATACAGCGCCTTTGCACACCTCGTTCCCATTCCTGGAGCGCCTTCCTCCAAGCACGCACCCCGCAGCGGCTGGCCTGCCCCTCCCTCGGGCCGCGGGAATCTTGTCCCCCGATTCCTGATGCCCTCCTTCCTGGACTGGAGGTGGCCGCCCCCGCCCGCGGGCCCGCTGCTCCGCGCAGACTTGCCACTTTATTTCCCTGTTCACAAGCTCCCCTCAGGCGCCGGCATCTCCTGTGCGCTTTGTGTCACCTGCGCCCTTCGCAGGACCCAGGTACAGTCAGCAGAGGAAGAAACCGCACGGGATGGAACCACAGCATCGCAATGACCAGCACCAGTCAAAACCCGGGACAGCACACGGAAGCAAGCAGAAGCGCGGTTGTCCACTGTCTGTCTCTGGGACAATGTGGGTCCTTGTTGCCTCTGTCCTCCTCAGTTGACACAGTCTTCAAGGGAGAGGGAAGGCCCCCCTCGTTGCTCCCTGTGTGGGATTCTGACCCCAGTATGTGAGTGTGTGCGAGAGTGTGTGTGCGTGCGTGCGTGCGAGAATGTGTCTGTATGAGTGTGTGTGAGTGTGTGCGTGCGTATGAGTGTGTGCGTGCGAGTGTGTGTGTGCGTGCGTGCGTGCGTGTGTGTGTGTGTGTGTGTTGGGTTCTGCAAAAGGCCTGCAGGTGGGCGCTTTGGGGAATGGAGACTTCTGCTAGAGTGCAGGCTTCAAGGAGGGACAGCATGGGGTAAGCCATTTCTTGGCTTAAGCCCACGGGGTTTCTCCTGACCCGTGAGCCACCTGCACAGTCAGGGACTAAGCGAGGCTGGTGCCTGTGCAGATTTCTAACCACTCTCCTTAACCTGCTGCAGGATGATACCAAAGTGGCAGAGCGGTGGCTTTGGTGGTTCCCCAAGGTCTGTGGCAGGGGCCAGCGCCTGAGACGTCTGCCCTGCCTGGGCTGGCCCGAGGTAGGCCCTAGCCAGGCTGACCCTGTGGGAGATCTAGCTCACCTGTAAAAGGGGACAGGCCCTCCGGAGGATCTGGAGATCAAGATGCCCATGGCAGGTCCCTAGACTGGGCCTGGGACTCGAGGTCGGGCAGTGCTGTTCCTGCTCTCCAGGTGTATTCTCTGGGGTTCTCTCGTCATTCTCAGTTGGCTGATGGAAAACGCAGGCCTCGGACCCTCAGCCACGCAAAGGGTGTGAAAGCGCGACTTGGGGACGCCTCCTCTGCGCCCTAGCGCGCGTCCTAGGGCGGGGGAGGTACCGATCTTCCCGCCACCGCCTTCCTCGGCTCCGACCCCGCTCCCACTGGGGCCTGTTCCCCACGCCCGCCCCGTAGCTTTTCATCCGGCGAGTCGTGCAGCAGGGCTGGGTGGAGGTCTGCAAAGACGAGGCCTTCCTCTGGGCAGCTGTGACAGCGGCCGCGCTCGGCAGAGGGGGCGCGGGGCCGGCTAGAACCCTCGTCTTCGTTCCAAGTGCTGGTACCGTCCAAGCGTCCCCTCCTCTGTGCCGGCGGCCGCAGTGGGGGGACCCTGCGTTCTCTTCCGATCCGACCAGAGAAACTGTTCTGTCTCCAACGCGGCGCACGGAGCGCTCTGCCCTGAACACCCTCCGTCCCGCTACCCGGGGTGGGATTCTGACCCCAGTATGTGAGTGTGTGCGAGAGTGTGTGTGCGTGCGTGCGTGCGAGAATGTGTCTGTATGAGTGTGTGTGAGTGTGTGCGTGCGTATGAGTGTGTGCGTGCGAGTGTGTGTGTGCGTGCGTGCGTGCGTGTGTGTGTGTGTGTGTGTTGGGTTCTGCAAAAGGCCTGCAGGTGGGCGCTTTGGGGAATGGAGACTTCTGCTAGAGTGCAGGCTTCAAGGAGGGACAGCATGGGGTAAGCCATTTCTTGGCTTAAGCCCACGGGGTTTCTCCTGACCCGTGAGCCACCTGCACAGTCAGGGACTAAGCGAGGCTGGTGCCTGTGCAGATTTCTAACCACTCTCCTTAACCTGCTGCAGGATGATACCAAAGTGGCAGAGCGGTGGCTTTGGTGGTTCCCCAAGGTCTGTGGCAGGGGCCAGCGCCTGAGACGTCTGCCCTGCCTGGGCTGGCCCGAGGTAGGCCCTAGCCAGGCTGACCCTGTGGGAGATCTAGCTCACCTGTAAAAGGGGACAGGCCCTCCGGAGGATCTGGAGATCAAGATGCCCATGGCAGGTCCCTAGACTGGGCCTGGGACTCGAGGTCGGGCAGTGCTGTTCCTGCTCTCCAGGTGTATTCTCTGGGGTTCTCTCGTCATTCTCAGTTGGCTGATGGAAAACGCAGGCCTCGGACCCTCAGCCACGCAAAGGGTGTGAAAGCGCGACTTGGGGACGCCTCCTCTGCGCCCTAGCGCGCGTCCTAGGGCGGGGGAGGTACCGATCTTCCCGCCACCGCCTTCCTCGGCTCCGACCCCGCTCCCACTGGGGCCTGTTCCCCACGCCCGCCCCGTAGCTTTTCATCCGGCGAGTCGTGCAGCAGGGCTGGGTGGAGGTCTGCAAAGACGAGGCCTTCCTCTGGGCAGCTGTGACAGCGGCCGCGCTCGGCAGAGGGGGCGCGGGGCCGGCTAGAACCCTCGTCTTCGTTCCAAGTGCTGGTACCGTCCAAGCGTCCCCTCCTCTGTGCCGGCGGCCGCAGTGGGGGGACCCTGCGTTCTCTTCCGATCCGACCAGAGAAACTGTTCTGTCTCCAACGCGGCGCACGGAGCGCTCTGCCCTGAACACCCTCCGTCCCGCTACCCGGGGGCAGCCCCCGCCCCGGGCATCCGCGCCCAGTTCCAGGAGAGGGTCGCCCCACACCCGCGCCCCCGACAGTCTCTCCGTCCCTTCCCATCCGTGCCTCTGTCACTCCCGGGCGCGCCCTCTTCTTCTGCCGCCCTCTCCCAGCCCAGCCGCACACCGCCCCGGACTCCCCCCTTGCCCGTTCCGCTCTCCAGTGTCCCCGCAGCCCGCAGCGCCCCCCGCCAGCCCGGCGCGGTCCCCCCGCCTCG